GTACCGAGTCCTCCATTATGTAAAAAAGTAGGTACAGTAACAATATTGGAAATGCTTCAGATTTTTGCCACTGGTACAAAGTATAATCTTGAAACTACACTGCTATAACTAGCCTAAGAAAAATCTATTTAAGACTACTATCAAAGAAAAAAATCTGCAGTGGTTGTACAAATATTTTGATGAGTAACTCAAACACAGTAAGAGACAACTTCAAACACAGAACTTGGGAATAATCCATCAAAGCAACATGTTCAACAACCTTCAAAGCACAAAATCACTGTCCAAAAAAAGTGGCCTAAAAAGTCGCTCCAGAAACACGGTCAAACATTGCTGTAAAATATTCTTTCAATAAATAAATTAATAAAAGCTGTTAATTTTTATGAATGAACATGAATGCCAGAATAATCAAGTTTTTCATGAATATGTACAGATAAAAAAGAAAAGTTGAAAGTATTTTAAAATTGACATTGAAAAAAGTCCTTTTCACTGATCACTGGAAAAAAAGAAAAATAAAAAAATAGAAGCAGTTATCTTTGCCAGCAATTGCTGCCAACAGCAACATTTACCAGCAGTGTTTCTGGCAGCCTCTGCAACCATGTTCACAATCATTCAACCTCCCATTTCCATTATGAACCACCCACTTAAAGAAAAGACAGAGAGGCTCTGACTCTTCCTTATACAAATACTTCCCAGTACTGATACTTTACATTCAAAAGGTTCTTTATCCACAAACCAAAAAGGAAATACATATGCATGTATGTGTGAACAGGTATGAGCAGATACCATACATACAGGAACAAGGTTTGGCACAGGTGGTTAATGCGTTATTTTCTCTAGTTTCGAAATAAACAGTGAGTTCTGGAGATTTTATTTCCCATGGAAATAACATTGTTAAATAACTCTGAAGACGATTTGAGGACTTCAGTTCTATCTGAGAATTCATATTATGCCACTGACCTATGCTCAATTGCTCTGGATTGCTGAATGTTGATGAAAAAAAAACAGACTACTAAAGTATTACATTTACTCATGATGCTTAAAAACAGAAACTGCTCTGATCTCATTGTTTTCTTTCAGTCCTCATGCTAAGCCACATAGGACTAAGCTGTGAATAAGGAACACAAAATGCTGTAAGAGAAGTGGAAGCATGCCCAGATGTGAACAGCAAGATAGTTCCAGTGAAAAAGTAGAATACATGCTTGAGATAATTGCCTCCTTTCTTATTTTTGTCCCACATCAAAAGGAAGTGTGATTGGAACACTGTACCAATGTATCACCCATTAACAGATGGCACTGATGAATGGTACAGAAGTTCCATCTATCAATTCTGCAGATGCATTTTATACATACTCAAAACATGAGTTTGTATGCCTACATTAATTAACCTACATACACACACAAATGCAAACACAGTAAAAATACTTATCGTAGGTTTTATTGAACTATTTTAACCAAGCAGCATTGATCCTTTCTACTTGGAACATCCTAAGAATATAACAAATTTCCACCAATTAGAAGAACTGGCCTCCTTGCACAGTGCCTTTATTCAGTGCTTGAAGCACTGAATTGTCACAGAAAACCACTCTACAAAGTTCCTTCACAGTTTTGATCTGCAGTTACAGCTGAGGTACTGAGCCGTAATTTTCTAAACCGCCTGTTTTGACTTCATGCAAATGTTATGATAAAATCACAAGACAGTTCTTCAGTGTAAATTAAAGACTGTGGAAGTAACTACACTAATTCAGATATCCAACATCAAATAAAGCTTGATTCTTCAGGGGTTTAAAGCTTATGACATTACCACAAGAATGTTCCCCAAAGAAACAAACAAACAAATCTTTTATTTGTCAAACAATTATTTTTCTACTTAGAGAGAATTTATAGTGGAAAGGACCTGTGGAAGTCATCTGGTCCAACACCCTGCTCCCAGCAGCACTAACTTTGTTATTAGATCTAGTTGCTCATGGCCATGTCTACTCAAGATTTGTACATCTGTCTCTAGGATGGAGATCCTATGCCTCTAAGCAACCAATTCTACTACACTCATATGTAGCTATCATTTTTCAGCCGTTATGATCTATGAACACCAAGCTAAACATGATTTTACTGAGGGGCATTGTATTTATAGACAATTTAGTTACTAGACAGTTTTTATGATTCCTTGGTGGTAATGTTTTGGACAAGTGTTTGTTTAAGAACAACTTTCTTTCCAGATTATTTAGCCTACACCACTTCCAAAAGGGACTCCACCAATCACATTGTCCCTTCTACCTTCCATCCCTCCTGTTCCACTTGTCTGAGTACCCCCTGAATTGCTGCAAGGTTTGTCCAATGGCCTTCAGAACCATTGCTTGAATCACTTCCAGATCTACTGGTCCTGTTCATATCTCAAAATACAAATGTTATGTTTTCCCACTGCTATTGCCATGCAAACATCTGCTACTGGCAAATGAACCTGCTATTCTATGCCTCAGAAACCTACAAGACTTAATGGGGATCACAGCTGCACTTTAATCCTAAGTAACAGCCACTGCTTTGAAAGTTTATAAACACGGTATAAATCTGTGAGACAACAGATGCTGAACACAGAATGAGAGAGCATAAAGTCATAGCAGCAGGATTCTCAACAGTGCAAGCAGCAGTCTTCACACAACTTTGGCTGCTACACCACTGCACGTTACACAGCAGCAACGGAGCAGGGGAACTCTTTCTGTTCAGAATGAGAGCAGTGACACATGTAAAAGTATTTGACTATTTTAAAAATGACTGGTCAAGACTGGCACAAAAAAAAAAAATTAAACCTGGTTAACATATCAGGTTAGATAATACAGGTCTTAAAGCAGACCAAGGGTTACATGTGGTAAGGCAGTGAAAGCCAGTGGACTGATAAATGCAAGGCAAAAGCAAGAAGATGGAAAAATTATTTTCATGACATAATTTCTGTGGATATCCATTGACCAATATTGTTGTCAAGATCACAGAAAAGATTGATCCTAGATAATAGTGTAACATATGAAAGGGCAACACAGACAAAGTAACGGCAGTATTAGGCATAGCTTGAAGGTGCGTATCTAGGATTTCTTACTCCAAGGAATCAATTTCGCTATTATTTTAAAAACTCAGAATCCTTAAGCCATTCCACCCTGCTCCATACATTACAAACATTTTCAGACAGAACTGCAATATGGGATCAGTAAATACATGAATTATGAGGAAGGGAATAAACTAGTGCTCTAGAATACCAACAGAATCTAGATAGACTGGCTACAGCCTGCCGAAAGCCAAAACTAAGCTGCCCAGATGAGCTGCTTAGCTCTAAGACAGTCTGGCTCCAGGCCTAAGGCTGCTGGAAGGTGCTACTAGGGTACGTATGTATGACTTGAAAACAAGAACTGGTCTGAATTAAAGTTATGAATATATTTTAAACTGAAGGTTCAGAAAGGTTCAGAAGTTTTCCACTGTTAAGATTAGTAAGAAACATTCATACTTTAGCAGCAATGTGGAAGAACCATCTGCAAGACAATGAGGAGTTTTACAACTTTTGCTTCCATGAAGTGTTTCAGAAGTGAAATCTTGAAAAATCAAAACAGCTTTATGTGTAAAGCTATCTTTTTCAAAACAATTTAAGAATAGTTATATAATATATAGTAGTTACCTATCATACATGTCCAGGAACACGCTTTTGCCTTGTTATTTCAACCATTCTCTTACACAGAAATATCAACATGTATGCAGCCATAAAGAATATTCAAATGTTTTCGTTTTTTTCACCTAGCTTTTAGAAGTATGTGTTAAAAGACTTGCATAGGACCGTGCCTTTGAGTAACTCACAGAAGTTTGATGAATAACTTACACTATCCATCAGGAAAGCCAAAAAATCTAAATATTAAATAATTTCTCTACTCTGTAAACGTCCTTCAAAATACTGGATACAAGTGTGCTTTGCCCCCTCAGCTCATTGACTTTCTTACCTTTCTTACTTTTTGAAATGAAAATACAATACACATCCTGTGACTTAAGTGTAAGGAATGAAGTTTACTGCTTTAGGGTCCATTTTAGCATAGAATCATGGAACATTTGGGGTTGGAAAGGACCTTAAGGTCATCTACTTCCAACCCCTAAGCCATGGGCAGGAATGCCTCACACTGGACAGCCTCAGTTTTCTCAGCCTGTCTTCATATGGGTGGTGCTCCAGTCCCCTTATCATCCTTGTGGCCATCCTCTGGACTTTCTCCAACAGTTCCATTTCCTTCCTATGTTGAGGACACCAGAACTGTACGTATACAGTACTCCAAGTGGTGCCTCATGAGAGCAGAGAAGCAGGACCTTGTCCTTCGACTTGCTGGTCATGCTCCATGCAGTGTGATGCAGCCCAGGATATGGCTGTTTTCTGGGCTGCAAGGCCACACTGAAGTTGGTTCATGTTGAGCTTCTTATCAACCAACACCCCCAAGTCCTCTGCAGCGCTGCTCTGAATCTCTTCACCCAACCTGTAGCTGTGTTGGGGATTGCCCCGAACCAAGTGTAGGACCTTGCACTTTGCATTGTTGAACTTCATTAGGTTGGCATCAGGCCCCCTCACAAGCGTGTCCAGGTCCCTCTGGATGGCATTCCTTCCCTCCAGCGTATCAACTGAACCACAAAGCTTGGTGTCACCAACAAACCTGCTGAGGGCAAGGAATCTATAAATTTTGTCTTCATTTTCACTGCCTGTTTTTGTGGCCCTGCTACATAGCAACACTAAGATCATTTCTCTATATTCAGCTGTATTCCCCTTCAACACAAAAAAGATAGGTTTCTCTGAATCCCCCATAGAGTGGATCAGCTCTGCCATATTTGAAGACTGATTCTCTCCTCCCATCTTCATCCCTGTAGTGCTTCTCACTCTATTAAGGGCAGTTGTGCATGCCTGCTGGTAGATGCATTTGGAAAACACCCGGGACTGGACAAGTGAAGTTATTTTTTCATTAAAACTGGTGCTTTTGGTGATGCTTGCTTACCTCATTATCTGACTCCACAAGCACTTGGTCATATTCACTAAGAGCTACTAGGAACATGATAGATGTGACGTTTTCAAAGCAATGTATCCATTTTCTTCTTTCTGATCGTTGGCCTCCTACATCCACCATTCTGCAAAATTAACATCCACATCAACTCCATGAACACCTTAACAGATAAACACACAAGCACACACACAGTGACAAAATTCAAGAATTTAGTTGAAAACAAAGTTCAGTTTGTTTTTCTAAATGTCTTTTTTTAATTGATATTTAATGGAATCTGTTCTAGGTAGAAAGTTTGCTGAAGAAGAATATATTGCTTTGAAGTCTGATGTGTTTTCTGTGTTTAGATTATTGTGGGTCTCAAACCCCTCAGATTTCTGAGATACAAAGGTTTCATGAGCTACGATTTGGCAGTGTATGCCCGGTGTATTCAGCTAAAACATATGTGAACAGAACAGACTCTGTGGCCTGTCATTTCTCTCCCCCCTCTGCACTACCAGAGTATAACTTCCCAACCTGGTAAAGCTGCCCATTTTTTTACTAATGTAAAAAGAAACAGAATAAACTACCTGAAAATGACACTTTGTAAGTCGAATGGATATTCAATGATCCCTGTTGTTGGGACTCGAACTCTGAGCACATCTTGCTGAGTTGGCAGGTAGGTGGTATCTGCTATGCGGTCCAAGTCATTAAGATAGCTATAGACAGGGAGAAACAAAAGGAATGCAAGACAGTGACACCATCATCTGACTGAGGAAAAGAGAAAGGAAAACTTGGGAAGGGAAAGGGGTTGTGGGGTAGGAAGAAGCGCAACAGAAAAAAAAAAAAGTATTATTGGCATAAAAGAGGGGACAAAGTATAAAAATGTGCTCCATCCCCTCTTCCTGTACACTTCCATAGCTTCAAGTAAATTCTATAGAAGGGGAGTGTAATTATTAAATTTTATTTTCAAACAAGCTTGAAGATAGCTTTCACATGTATATTCACCAAAGATTCAAATTTTTCTTTAAATAATTCTAGGCAATGTGGAGACAAAGAATATTATAAGATGCCTGAGAAATATAAAATTGCTGTTTTATTTGAATATGCAAAATACTTCTTAATCATTCTGCAGTGTCTACACACATACATGGACAGAGAACCATGAATCTCCCAAGAAACAGTGAAGTGCTATAGAACAGATCTCTGGCACCTGAAAGTCCTGCATTCACACTCAAACTTCTGATGAAGTTAATAAGCCTGTAGTACATGAAATACATGCCAGCTGGTTAGTAAATAACCGCAAATTGCTTAAAATTGCTTGTAAATTTTCATTAGCTACAACACAAAAATCTTCTGCTATTGCTTAATGATGGGTTTCAATCATATAGCAATGGAGTACTGGAGATTTTACTTAATTCTCATAAAAGAGATGCTTCAAAAAAGGAAGTGTACCAAGTGTGTTATAGCCTGTTTGGGTCCCGGAGCTGGATAAGCAGGGCTTTTTCAGCCTGGAGAAGAGAAAGCTCAGGGGAGACCTTGTAGCAGTCTTCCAGTACCTAAAGAGGGCCTACGAGAAATCCGGAGCGGGACATTTTACAAGGGCCTGTAGTGACAGGACATGGGGAATGGTTTTAAACTGAAAGAGGGAAGATTTAGATTTGACATTAGGAAGAAATTCTTCACTATGAGGATGGTGAGACACTGGAACATGTCGTTCAGAGAAGCTGTGGACTCCCCATCCCTGGAAGTATTCAAAGGTCAGGCTGGACAGGCCTTTGAGCAACCTGGTCTAGTGGAAGCTGTCCCTGCCCATGGCAAGGGGGCTGGAACTAGATGATCTGTAAGGTCCCTTCCAATCCAAACTGTCCTATGGTTCTATGATATCTTACTAAATTAGTGCACCAGGAAGCTTGGGCTCTCCCCATGGTAGGTATCTGAGAGAGACTGCTGCGAGACATGAAGTTCTTGGCCATTTGGTTACTTCCCAGCCCAAGAATGACCTACAGCTAGCCACTGAGAAGATAAATTAACCTACAGATAACCATTTGCACAACCATTTTGCTGCATTCCTTTGGCAAGCTCCAGTTTTGTTCTTCTATGTAAGCCTGGTGACTGCACCTGTGCACAGCACACATGTTACTAAGGTAACCTATAATGCACGTCTGACTGATTTTAGAAAGGCAATAAAACAAAGGGATAATAGTACACTGTTAAATCTCACTTGTGTTACTGGAAACCATTAATTGGGCAGATGAGTATTTTTTTGTCCTAACACAAATCACTGATGCCACTAAGTTCCAGAAGCATTAATTTATCCTTAAAAATACTTATCTTTTCCTCGTCCTCATTCAGTTCTGCTCAAGTTAGCTCACTCAATTACTGAACAGCAACCTTCCCCCTCACTTCACCATCAGCATTTTACAGAGCCCATACAGTCCATAGAAGACTCCTTATATATCCTGAAGGAGTCCTATTTCTTTCCCTAGATTTCTTCACTTAGAAATCAAAGAATGTTGGGCTCTCTAAGAATTAATGTCCTGAACTATACACTCAAAGCCAAAAATAAAGCAAGCAGTATCAAAACTACTAATAGAACCTCACAGAAAAAAATCCCCAAACCAAACCAAAATCAGATAGCATGCAGAAAATCCTTTAAAATCTTTCTGACACTGACAAATCATAACCAGAATCTACAGTCCAACAAAAGCGATTTAGAATACATCCTGCATTTTTCATTTTCAAATAATGGCATTTAGCCCCACTACTTTCCCTTCTAACTTAAAACTTAATAAATTACTGTATCCATTTATTTAAATAAAAATGTCCCAGTTCTTTGTTGTGCAACCTTATTTTTAAATCTTTTATGATTGCTATTTTCATGCTGTGACCATACCGCAGACAGTTAATGAAATTCTTTTTAAGTGGAAAAAAAAATCATTTTTTTCAAGTTTTGATTTGTTGTGGTTTGGTTGTTTTTTTTTTTTTTTTTTTTTTTTAAGCAAAGGCACTTCTGTTGAAAATTACTTGTGCTGGAATTCACATTTTAATGAAGTTTGTGCATTGTTGCTCTGAAGCAAATAGGCATTTTCTGCTACTGACTTTAACAGTTCTGCAGATCAGAAACACTTTCTGTTACTGTATGACGATATGTAACTTCACATTCTGCTATCAACTTCAGTGGGATTCAACATGTTTCTGAAAATCAGACTGAAGGCTTTGCCTTCATCAGCAACATAAAGCTCCCTTCAAGATACTCTAAAATCACTAAAAATGCTAACACATTTCTAGTAAAATTATTTGGAATAGTGAAGAAAGACTACTAAAATTGCTCAAATTAATCTAGTTTATTTGATGGCTACAGCCTGGGGTGCGGGAAGTCCATAAGCTCTCACAGGAAAGCAGGGTGGAGTTACTTCCTCCACTGACTTATCTGCAAGCAGATCAGAGAAATTTATGAAGAGAACTTTATGAAGCCAGGGCTATGTGCAATGTCTCGAGTCTCTGAATTCAGATGGGTGAGGAGTGAATGAAGATGAAGATTTTCGTAGACTTTTTTGTACATCTGCTTATTAAATAAATGATTCACCATTGCCTTAAAGCAGGTACTGACAAATACATCACTTGCCTGGGCAAATAAATCCTGTGCAAAAAAATTAAGCACATAAAAGATACGCACTAGATACTTCAGGATCAGTGCCTAACTCAAAATGTATGCACAAATACTGCGCTCAGACTCTGCAATGACACTAAATTTTCAGTGCATACTAGAAATGGCTGCACATGCACTCTTGCAAGCAAACCACAAGACTTGTCATACACATGACCTTCCACAAAAAGACTGCTGCCAACAACTGCCCAAAGCAGATGTTTCCTCAGCTTAAAAACTTCAAAATTTAAAACCATAATAATGATACAGGTATTGGAAATACCCTGGCACTGCTCCTCCGGGCCAATCCAAAAGCAGGTAACCACCACCAGAGTTACCATGGGGAGTTCAGCTGTATAGGCAGCAGCAACTTTACAGGCAAGCAGCAACCTTTAGGGGCAAGCCATAAAGGTCTCAGTCATATGGCATGCTGAGCACCTGCTAAGAAGTGTCTTAACTTTGAGGAGACACACCATAGCTATATGGCCTCTCACCCAAACATTAACTACTCAGCTAGGAACAAAATTACTAAAAAAACAACCAAAAAATCAACAACAAAAAAAAACCAAATAAAACTCACACAACACAAAAACAAAAAAACCAAACCCACAAGAAAACCCCAACATAAAAAAAAACAACCAAAAAACAAAATACATTCCCCCCCCCCCCCAAAAAAAAAAGAAACCACACACGAAAGAACTGCCAGCCCAAATGAGCCAAACCACATAGGTCTGAGCAAATTTTTATATAATGCATACTAAGTTTAAAAACTTAATTTTGTAAATTACTTATGTAAAAATGGATTTTAGAAGCTGCTGAGGTAATTTTCCCAGGAGTTGCTATAGTGACAGGCATGTGGTGCATTACTGAGGCAATGAGCATGTAAGGCGCTGCTGGCATCGCCCTCTGCTGATGTCAGGAGAAATGCCACCGCCTGCCCAGCAGCATGCTTGTGATTTACACGCTGACCAGGAGAGGAAGCCTTTTGTTTCCCAGTCAGCACTGAGACAGAAGCACTTATTTCTAAGGTATTTCACATCACCTGTGACCTATGACAAGATCCAAGCCTGCAGCCAGCTCCAGGGAAGCTGGCCAGGTTATGGAGGTGCTAACAAGGCCCTTGAAAGGGAGCACGTTTCAAAGGTACTGTCTGTGCACATTTCAAACTAAACAGCAGGAGTGGGATCATGGGAGTAGCCTGACTGGCTCTGTACTTCCCTTTCTCATAGAAGAATCAAGCAGAGAGGTAAGACTCTTAGCCTTAACAAACAGACCAGAATTGTTTTAAACAATAACCTTCTTCAAGAGGTTAAATACAACTCCATCACCGTGAACAGGTTGCTCAACATCCAGTCTTAATTCACTTCCAAAAGCTACATCACCTAACAAAAACTGATGATCAAAACTTACTTGAATTTACCTTCTGGGAATGAGGTCTTAAAGCACCTTCAACATGAAAAAACCTGGGGCAGGAACTTCAAACACCCTCCACTAGCCATCAGCTACTATTTTCCAGCATCTTTAAGGCCAGACTTTTGTGGAAAATAATCAGGTGATAAAGTAGGATTTTCTCAAGAATTATTCCATAAGAGGGATTTCTGTAACTTCAAACCATTTAGTGGAAAGCCCAATTAATCAAGAGAAGGCAGTATGGCATGGGCAGACAAAGGCAGAAAAGCTACAACCTTCATCCATCTAATATTTGCTTCCCTTTCAAAGGTTAAAAATTGGATTGTTCTGTTCATCAGTGTTGCCCAACAACTATTTCCAGACTCAGCAGGCAAAACTGAGGTACCAAGATGCTGAATTCACTAAGACCTTAATAAACCCTGCGCTTAGAGGCAGTCTGCCTATGATACCCTGTGAGCACAGACTGTCTTCAAAACTTACTGCTGAAGTAAGTTGTGGTGCCTGGCACCACACTGAGAAACACTCCCAGAGAAATCATTAAACAAAACCAAAAAATGGCAGGAGGGTTAGAACTAGATGATCTTAAGGTCCTTTCTAACTGTAACTATTCTAGGATTCTCTGATTCTATGTTGAGATAGAGGTAATTACTTGGCACTGAT